GTTTAATTTAATGGGTTTCTGTCTGGAGGCAGAACACTGGGTGAGGCGACTTTTCAAGGTCCTCCCAGCTCTAACTCACCCACTTATAGTGTAAAATCCAATAATTCTTAGTATGTTCACAGAGTTGTTCAACCATCACCACCATCAATTTTAGAACATTTTCATCACATGAAGAAATTCTGTAACCATTTTTCTAAGAACTAGGAAAAGCCTTTGGCTTGTGGTATCAGTCAGCAAACACATCTTGCTTGTAGCGTGGTGCTAAGTACTGCAGGTTGCTACTGCCCTCTGGTGGTAATTGGCCAGACCTACAAGCAGAGATTAAAGTTTTCAAGAAAAAGACTCAGCTGTTACCTGCCCTCTCATGTTTACCAGGGCCTGGGGTAAGAATAACTTCTATGCATATTTAAAGGCTATTAATCAATCTAGCAAACCACCGTCAAAAGAAAAAAATTACAACAAATTGAAAGATCTCAATTGCCTTTGTTCTGATCTAGAATCAGGCAACACATCATTCAGTAAAATAGAATAAGTGTTCCAATGAACCGAGCAGAGGAGGTTGGTTTTACAGGAAAAGGCTAAAGAAAGCAGAAACAAAGAACAAAAAGCAGATCCGTCATTTCAAAGTTACTTTCCTTGAAAGGTGGGGACAGGGAGACAGAACAATAGAAAAATAGCTGACTAGTTAACATCGGGCTACTTCAGGCTGTCCTTTTTGTGTAAGGATTAAAGCAGAGAGAACTTTATTATCTATTGAAGATTTAAACTGGCCTGTTTGGGAAATTGACTGTTATCTCTCTCACCTGATTTTATCTCTCTCACCTGATTTCTTGGAAGACCAGACCACAACCTAGGTGACTTGGAACTTAGCAGGGGTGACTCCATTTTGGTCTGGTCTTTTGGGGCCTAGTACAGGAAATTAGTCCAAAACAACAGCCTCTGATAATTTTATTTGACACTGTTAAAGATGATCTATCATCTTACCTTCGCAATGACCTGGAAGCCCATATTCAAATTAAAATTCTCAGTCTCTGTAGAATTCCATGTCAAACAGGGAGACATGGAAACAGTTGGTCTCAGGTCTGGCTTCACTCTTCTCAACCCTGCTCCATTGCACACCTCCAAGGACTGCTCCATCATTCATGCAGACACCTCAGTGCACCTGGCTAAGCTCCATTCGCACACCTGCAAAGAATCCCCTCCTCCCTACATACTTGTAGTGAAAAAATACCAACGGTCCAGTCAAGGGCAAACCCAGGGGACAGAACTGTGCAGGCTCCAGAAGCAGTCCTGGGACTATTTGTCCTAAGAATTCTGGGGTTCCAAGTATCCAGAGCATGATCTAGAAGGTTAGTGGTGGTGGAGGCGATGTGGCTCTCGGAAGGCAATTAGGGTGACCAACTTGCTTTGCTGAGATCTGTCCTGGTTTTAGCACTGAAAGCCCCATGTCCTGGAAAGCCCTTCATCAGGATGCTAAAAGCCCCACTTACTGATCTTGCATCAAAAGATTAAAGGAGTTGGGCAAAATCTATATGGCAACCAGTAAATAGGGGCTAACAGCAAACACTGTTTCTATATGGTGTGGGTTATTCATCCTCCATAGTCATCGTCACCACTTTTCTTCCCTGACTGCTGATGCTGGCAATTGTGACTTGTGGCTCCCACTGTTGTCTGCTGAGTGACGTGGCTGCAGTGTGCGACTCAAGGGCGCTGCAGTCATGAGCATCAACGCTGTCTTTGACTTCACCTGCGGATGTTCTGTTAAGCTGTGCTGAGACAATATGAACTGAATTTCTTAGATTATGAACACTGTGATCTTGTTTTCTGAACTTTTTCTACAAGTTTAGATAATTAAAATGAGAACAATTANTATATGGTGTGGGTTATTCATCCTCCATAGTCATCGTCACCACTTTTCTTCCCTGACTGCTGATGCTGGCAATTGTGACTTGTGGCTCCCACTGTTGTCTGCTGAGTGACGTGGCTGCAGTGTGCGACTCAAGGGCGCTGCAGTCATGAGCATCAACGCTGTCTTTGACTTCACCTGCGGATGTTCTGTTAAGCTGTGCTGAGACAATATGAACTGAATTTCTTAGATTATGAACACTGTGATCTTGTTTTCTGAACTTTTTCTACAAGTTTAGATAATTAAAATGAGAACAATTACATATAATTTAATTAGTCCCACTATCAATTACTACTAATTGTCATTGTTAACTAGCCAATTGTTCTGTTTAAATATGAGGAAGAATATGACCTGCAAAGTCCCCGGGGAAGGGTCTCAGGGCTTACTGCAAATGGTTTCCAACACAGAAAGCAGGTAAAAATCTCTGAATGGTACCTTTGGGAAGGAAGAAAATTGTTTACGGACAGTTAAAGGCATATGCATAATAGAGTTTGGTTTGATATCTATGCAGCTGCCACAGAAGCATGGGGTCCAAAAGATTTGTGAGTTTACAGAGGAAATTACTTTGCAAAAAAATTCATTTATTTTTTGATGATGCTTACTCCCAAGAACTCAGTTTTTTAATGTTAGTGGGAAGCAGATGCTAAACTGCAAAAATTAACCAGCAATTGCATTTCAGAAAGCAATGATATCCGACTTCTTTATTAAGTTTACTGTTAAGTGAACAAAGAAAAAGAAGACTATTTCTCCCATTAGCAAAGCAAATAAGACATCTGTGCACAAAAATATGCAAGACAAAATTTGGTGGGTGAAATTACTTGTTGTGGAAGGAATGATTGCCTTGTAGGTACAGAAAATTTTATATTCTATGTCTTAAATTGAATAAGTTATCACAGTGTTTACGAATTGCCTTTCCTCCTTCTGCCTTTCTCTCTTTCTTTCTCTCTTTCTTCTTTCCCTCTTTTTCTTTTCTTTCTTTGTTTTAGTTAGTTTTATTTTGATTATAACCCTGAATTTCAGACCAACAATGAGGGAAAGGAAGCAGTCTAGGAGCCTCACTGTCTTAACGTCACTCTCGTAAACTGAGAGACCTTTGTGTCCCAGTTTGAGGGGTCCTGCCCACCCAGATGTAGCCCATGAATCAGGAGAGTATGGTGATATTTCAAAATGTTTGAGGAAAAATATAATTAAAAAATAGCATGAATCTTTCCACGAACTTCCTGAAGACCCCTCCTATGGGGCCTGTGAGCACTACTCAGCAAGCATTACATGTTAGCCAGGTTATCTGGCTGTTGTTTCTTTACTGTTCTTTGTTTGGCACAATTAAATTTTTCTGGTTTTCTACCATCAGGTACAATGAGATCTTGAGATAGAAACTAAGTTAATAAAAACAGTTATATTTACTTGCACACTAAATATGTGGATTTGCTATTTATTCCCATTGTACGCTTTACTTCCAAAGGGTCAATTAATTCATCTTAGAAACACAGAATTTCAGTATAAGGAGAGAGGATCATTCTTCTAAA